AAGAGTGGGTGACAGAGTAGAGGGAAGGTGGTCTCCACAGTCTCTCTGTCCTGTCTCAATCTCGCCCCCCCCAAATCTGGCTTATTGATTGCAACCTATTACTTGTTATAAGTCATTCTAGTCTTATCCTTCTGCTTCCATACTCCGATGTATTATAGCTGCCCATGAGAACTTTCTACACTCAGACCTGACCATGCACCTTCTTCTTCATTATTTCGAGTAATTGTCTAGTGTGCACAGTTCAAAACTCTTTGAAGCCACCTAAAATGCTTCGTAGAAAAATTCAGGGTAGAAAAACATACCTGCCAAGATCCCGAGAGGAGAATGGAGGAGAAGGGATTGTGGCGTGGCCATCCTCCCTGGGGGGTGATTTCTCGCTTTCTGTCTCTCTGTCTCTCTCTGTCTGGCGAGCGCACGCGCCCTATAGCAAAAACCTCTTTAAAAAAAAAAAAAGAAAGAAAAACATACCTGCATGTGTACATGCAACTTCTTCTCGGCATTTTATGCAAAACTATAGAAATGCTGCCTCCATATACCTTTCTAATCAGTATCCCTCCCATCTAAGACTTAATTGCTGCTTAAAGAATTCTTAGCTTATACAACTGCCATATATTTGGTTCTTTTCTTTTTCTTTCTTTTTTTTTGGGGGGGGGAAGGTACTAAATCTTATTTTCTGAAATACATGTCACTGCCTACTCAACCAAGAAGCAGTCAGAGATAGCACCTTCTCTCTCCTTCCTCCATTTTCTTCACACAGAATTAGTTCCTCATTTATTTATAAATACCTTTATTATAACACTTATCCTTTTCTCCCTGTTTCTCTTTGTAACTAGATTGTAAAATCAATAACTTAATAGACCCAGCATCTATGAAAGCAACTCTAGATTTAGCTGTTGCTTACAAATGTTTGCCAACTTAATGTATTAGCAGGTAATTAATTGATGGCCTTGATTAATGTGACTCTGTGGAGAATCTTTTTTTTTTTTTTTCTGGGAGAGATTTT